CCTGACTTGGGACAGGCACATACAGAATGTGGCGGGGTTAATCTAGTTAGATGGCGCCAAACCCTAAACCTTACCTGGGACAGTGGTGGAACAACACAACACAGGAACACACTATACAAAACAATAAACGAAAAACAAAAATGATAAACAGCAACAAACAACAACCACCACTCAAGTACAGGATCCTTACTTGGGACAGGCACATATAGAATGTGGCGGGATTAAACTAGTTTGAAGGCGCCAACCCTCTCCCTAACCTGGGAAAGTGGTGTAACAGTATAACATAAGAACAATCTATAAAAATCTGTTGAAAAAGGCTTAACTCATCAGATGGATACAAATAGAAATACATCTAACAAAAACACAGAGTGGACGTGGTAGGGTACTTATACATCCCACAACAAAAAGACACTGAGTACAGATCTGAGAGGACTCGCATTTACTGACAGCTAGTTCAAAGCCAATAACAACTAATAAAAAAAATCATGCATCTAAGACAGAAATATCAATCAGTACACACCCAACTCGTTTTGCCTTTTGTAACTAATATTTTTCAGAAGAGTTGTCCCTTTCTTATCAAAGTTCTGGATTACGCCATGGTACATTCCGACCTTTTTAATTAATTAAAATCACTTTGACAAACTTGTTTCGATCCAGTTTTGTAACTTGAAAGACTGTTAAAGGTTATGTAGACTTGACAAACTAAAAGATGTACATTTGTTTATTTGCTTTACATTTGTATATGCTCATCTTTTATATAGGGAATGAGCAATTTTTAACTGCAACTATACCTTTTCCTGCAATCGAGGAAGAGACGGTATTGTGGATACAACAAGTGGAATGTTCTCTTGGTCATCTGTGCATAGATATTGAATAATGGTCAACCAAATCATATCGTCGTTTTGTGTGGTTCCAGGTGTCCTTCAAAGAAAAAAGTGAAAAAATATGGTAAAATTGCAATAGTTATCACATTTTCATCAACTTCAGCATTTTTCTGAGGGACGAAAATGACTGGTAGAAAACGCGTGTGACTTTTTAAAAGTACAAAAATATAAAATTAAGGTATTTCTATGATGATAAGCCAATTGATGCTTTCATCAAACGGTTATTAGATTTTTGTTAACCAACGTGTAGTTCGATTGATCTAAACTCTTTATTGATAAAAATGTTTAATTATGGCGTCTCTGATTTCGCATTTGTGGCGTCACTTTAAAAGGCGACCTTGCGAAATTTGAATTGATAAATAAAAAAACAATTACCGTAAACTTTATGGTATTTTTGCTCTTAGAATCAAGAATTTTCTAATTATACTGCCGATATTTACCCAAAAAACTAACAGTAAATAAATATGATATAATAAAAGCAGTAATTGTCCTTTTCTAGATGTGGATATTTCAGTTTCACTGGAAATTCTAATATGACGTTCTTTTTTCGCTTTGGAAACAAAGCGGAAACAAAGCCATGTTCTAATTCGAATAAAACATGGGCTGCACCTGAAATTGCAACGTCAGTTGTATTTTAAACAACGCCGGAGATCAAAATGGACATTTGTGGTGGTGTTGTTCTCTAGGAATTTAAATAAAATCATTCTAAAAGTAAGTTTACACAAGTATTCCCCATTCCAAACTTAAAAACAAATTGAAAGAGTTGGTCATGCTTTGTTTCATAAACAGTGTCTTTTCTTAGGGAGGGATAAAAGTACTTTGTAAAAAATCACTCCGATTCTAACAAAATATTCTCTGAAACTGACATTATCAAGATGCTTGATTTCTTGATTGACAACATATTTGTTACGTTTGGAGGACGTGTTTTTCAACAAACAATCGGCATTCCCGTAGGAACCAACTGTGCTCCTCTTCTTGCCGACTTGTTCCTTTATTCATATGAGGCTGATTTAATTCAGGAACTTCTTAGGAAGAAAGAAGAGAAGTTAGCAGTATCCTTTAACTTTACTTTCTCCTATATAGATGAATACAGATGTTCTCTCGTTAAATAACTCAAAATTTGGTGACTATGTTGAACGCATCTATCCCATCGAACTTGAGATAAAGGATACAACAGATACAGTTAAGTATGCCTCATATCTTGACTTACATCTAGAAATTGACAATGAGGTCGATTGAAAACAAAACATTACGACAAGAGGGATGATTTCAGCTTTCCAATTGTGAACTTTCCATTTCTATGTAGCAACATTCCAGCAGCGCCTGCATACGGAGTATATATTTCCAAATTTATACGATATTCCAGGGCTTGTATTTCCTATCATGATTTCCTTGATAGATGATTGCTACTCACAAAGAAGCTATTAAACCAAGATTTCCAAGTGGTGAATTTGAAGTTATCCCTTCATAAATTTTACGCACGCCATCACGAGTTGGTTGACCGTATGGAATATCCATTTCACAGATGATAGCGGATATGTTCCAATTGTCGTAATTACAATCCCGTTCCCCTTTCCCCGAATGTGACCTACCGTATTAGACTTATTCCTGGGTTTGTACTAAAATGAGCAACACGACAGGTGCCACATGTGGAGCAGGATCTGATCACCCTTCCGGAGCACCTGAGATCACCCCCAGTTTTTGATGGGGTTCGTGTTGCTCAGACTTTAGATTTCTAAGTTGTGTTTTGTGTACTGTCGTTTGTCTGTTGGTCTTTTACTTTTTTAGCCACGGCGTTGTCAGTTCATTCTTTGACTTATGAGTTTGAATGTCCCTTCGATATCTTTGGCCTCTCTTTTACATGTATCTGTTCATTTTTCATCGTGAAACGGTTAATTTTCTATATCGTTTTGGCTTCATCAAATCAAAATGGCTGCCTTTTGAACGTGTATTATATTAGATTCGCTTCGGAGGATAAAAGTTCTAAATTTTCCTATTAATATCGAAAAAATTCTATCATGCCATGCTCTATGCTCATTTTAACATGGGTAGGCATTATATTTGTCAACATTTTACACCTCGCTGACGCTCGGTTTAAAGATATTGACAAATATAATACCTACCCATGTTGAAATGAGCATTGAGCATGGCATGAAAAATTATTTCTTAAGCAAATTACGACAAAAAATACGAATTTCGTTCCATATTGTTAATTTTCCTTGTGGGACAGTGATGTTTCTTTGGCTGTGTATATCACCCAGCTCGTTCGCAATGCTCATATATGTATTGACGTTTTAGATTTCAATGAAGGCAATTCATGTTTAACTTGTAAAGTTATCAAATCAAGGATCTCGTTACCATACATTACTTTAAATTCTAAATAAATAATTTCATAGATACTAACATTTGATTTTGAATAGCTGTACTTGTAGAATTCTTATCAAAACCGGGATATCACATCCTTATTTTTACGGTGTTGTTTATAAAGCCCTAAATTAGATACGACTAATTGATAATTTGAATAAACATAAGGTCGTGTGAATCTTATAGTGTTATATGTCCACTTTTGATCAAAATGGAGATAGCTATATATTTGATATCAAAGGGCTATGAATGGTCTATCTCCCTATACAACTATAATACGAGATTTCTCCACTCTACGAGTTTTTGTCAGAACTACACTGTTCTATCTCCATACTCCTATTGGATTATAATAGCTTATGCATCTAGTTTGTTCAGAGAAAAATATTCTTAAAGTGTTGTATCTCCATAATTTTTCAGGTATTTTTGCTGTAAAATAATTGTTATCAAAATTATCTTGATAGTTCTATGCTTAAATTGTTTGCATGGTTTGAACTCAATCTACTATGAGCAATTCTTGGCAAATCCAGCATTTCCAAATAGGGGATATTACACATTTAAAAACAATTCATGGTCTATCTCCAATAGAAATATAGGGATAAATTTCTAAAACAACATTGTTTGTAGTGCAGTGTTCTATCTCCAGAAAAGAGGATGATTGTTTGTCTAAGTTGCTTGTCTTTAAAAAAAAAACAATCGAACAAAGCGTTACTCTTCATGTACGTATAATCGATTCCTATATAACTTTTAATGTCTAGGTCAAATATTTATGATATTGCACTGTTATCCTTTTAAATTAATTTAAAGTTTTACCACTATTACTAAATGGGAAATACCTGCATTTTAAGATTCATCAAAAAACAAAATCCATTTTAGTACCAATAAGTTAGATTTTGAATATGTAGTAAAACAATATTCAAATTCTAACTTATCGGTACTAACATGGATTTTCTTTTCGAAAGATTTAAAATAACTGAATATATATGTATTTATGGCAACTATGGTATGCATAATACTGGTTGACATGCACTATGTTAAAGTGCATTGATGTAACATCGAAAATATATGCCGCGTACATTCAGAAGATTTACAAGTTTTTCTGGCTTAGATGGGGGAGCAAAAGGGGGTCCATTAACAGGTTGACAATTTTTGATTTTGTTCAAAACAGATAGCAGTAAAATAAGAATACTAATAAATGATAACAGCAATTTAAATTCTCTTAAATGAGAAAACAGAAAACAGTGAATTCAAAAGTCCAACAGTTACCAGGGGCATTTTTTCCCCAATAAAAGTTAACAACAATGTCAATTCTAAGAAAACAGATAACATCTAATTAGTCAATAACATTTAACAGCACATAAGTTTTCTATTTTCAAAATAACAGTTAACAAAAGTTAAAAAAATGCTTAAAACACCTTAACAGAAAAGATCCCCCCTACCCCCTCCCGCCCCCTCTTAGATTGCTTAATGCTTGTTTCTCCATCCGACACCGTAAGCTCTAAAAGTTCTCTAATTTTATTTTTAAAAGCATATACCATACGGTTTTGAGCGTCATTGATTTACATCAATTAAAAAAATAAATATAAAACTGTCACATATTTTGTATGAATAATGTTATCGATTATGTACAATTTGTCTTATCAATCTCAGTTGCACATACGTGTTGATTATCAATTTCATTTGTATATTCATGATGGAGATGTCAATCATTTGCATCTTCGTCAAGTTTCTGAAGATTGACAGAAACAAAGTCACGTGGTTTATGTACAACTTTAGAGGAAAGAGTAAGTCTGTTTGAGTAAATACATATGCTAGATACGTTCAGAGATGACCATGATGTTACACACAATTATCGTAAGTTACATCAAGTAAAACAATAGGAATATTTATATACAGTGTTTGTAATTTATAAATAGTACTAGTAGAAATGTACATATTAAAAAATATATGCTTGTTTCTCAATTCGTTTGCCTTACGATTTACTTTACTATAGGTGTTGTGTGCTTGTCATGTAAATACTAGATATATCAACTTGTTCCAATACATCTTTTTATTCTTGTATTTCCAAATTGACTGTATTTATGGACCTATTGCATCACTTAAAAGAAATGATTTGTCAAAATGCGAATCTTGTGTGTCAAGATTGGAACCATGCAATGTTTCTATAAAGTATAAAATGTAAATTTTTTACCTTAGGAGTTTTACGTAGGTTGTGTTAGTTTTTGATCGTACAAGTTTTACGAAGTTTGTGTTAGTTTTTAACCGTACAAGTTTTACGTAGGTTGTCTTAGTTTTTTTAACCGTACAAGTTTTACATAGGTTGTGTTAGTTTTTAACCGTACAAGTTTTACATAGGTTGTGTTAGTATTTTACCGGTACAAGTTTTACATAGGTTGTGTTAGTTTTTTACCGTAAAGTTTTACGTAGGTTGTGTAAGTTTTTTACCGTACAAGTTTTACATAGGTTGTGTTAGTTTTTTACCGTAAAAGTTTTACGTAGGTTGTGTAAGTTTTGACCGTACAAGTTTAACGTAGTGTTAGTTTTTAACCGTACAAGTTTTACATAGGTTGTGTTAGTTTTTGACCGTACAAGTTTAACGTAGGTTGTGTTAGTTTTTAACCGTACAAGTTTAACGTAGTGTTAGTTTTTGACCGTACAAGTTTTACATAGGTTGTGTTAGTTGTCCTGTATAAAGCTGTTGATGCTGATATTTTAATTCCTTCAACAATATGTAGACCACCAAAACCTGAAGATGCCGATTATTTTGGGGACTTAGAGCAGGATGATAAAGATATAAGGTAAATGTCTTTTTAATATATAGTTTATTGGAAGTTGACTTTTATAGTCAAAATTTGGTGAAGTCACTTTCGAATGAAGATGATGGATTGCACAAGATTTTAAAGCGGCCAAATTTGGTTTATGTTTGTTCCAAGTAGCTATATGAATCTTTGAGAACCCAAATGGACGTAAAAAATTATTTATACTACTTTGTAATCTAATTATCATTATGGTTGTAATTATCATAATCATTATTATAAATTGTTGTTGATATTATAACTGTTATTGTTATCACTAGTGATATTATTATTAGCATAGTAATCTTTTTATTGTCATTAAAAAACATCAACTTTGCCTGTATTTCTTTTTTTTTTTTTTTAGATTTAAGTTAGAACATTTACATTTTTTGTATTTGCAGAGCTAAAATAGATGCAGGTTTAAATAGGGGCTCAACGCGTAGGATTGAATCCGACAAAGCAGTCAATGAGTTTATGTTTGAAGCTAACTCAGTGTAAGTTTTGATACCTTGTATTGCAGTTAAATCTATAAATAAATAGAAAAAATAAACAAATGAATAAATTAAATAAATTATTCGATCAATTATAAAACAATACATTTGACAGTCAACGTAGCAATTTGGTAAATGATTTCTACTGGATAAAAAAATGATGAACAAAATGTACTGCTTTACAGATATTTTAAATCGGGTTTCTAATTTTTTTTACTATATTGAAAGATGGATATTTAATTTTATAATTTTACTTTTAAGGTTTGTATCGACGGTTGGTATGTGTAAATATAGATATCGAACATATGCTCCTCCCAAACAAGTCTGGTACAAAGGACAAATGTGTTATGTGTTACATCAATTCTGGTATCAAATCTGGAGACACGTTGATTGTCCGTAAGTATGAGGATTACGTTGGATAGTCGTCAGCTATGGATAAAATATTCTATTATACGACTAAAATAATTCTCTTTTCTCATTGCCTAAAAACGTAGGGAATCTTCTTTCATAAAACGTTATATTCACCGCGGAAAAAATCACGGTAAGTTAATATAAGATCCGCTAACGTGTACCTATAAATATTTTTTTCCTAGACAACGTCTATAACGTAGGCTCATTACGTCATGCACATTCTTGTTTTTCTTCTTTATTTCAATGTTATTTTTTTCAATAAATCTTATTGGTTTCTTCTCTGTTGTAACATGTTGTATGATGCGAAGTTATTAAATTTTGACATTGTGTTTATACTTTATTCAAGTTTCCACCTCTGTTGTAATGTTAGATCCAAAGTTATCCAGTTTCTATCATTACGTTTAAATTCTTCATTCCATAATGTACCATGGGTTCTGCAGCTGTTTAATCTTTTATTATTTTATCTACCTCACTTTTATATCAACCTCTCTAGTAATTAAACATATAGCAATTTTAATGAATTTTAAACATTTATCAATTGTAATGATTGTCTTTATTACGTTACAGTAAACAGCGCTGTAGTAATGTTCCGTGTAATCAATGGTCTCCATATGTCTACCGCTGTGTTCCGTCATGTAAGCGTACATTTTACATGTGGATAGCTTGTCGTGGTGATGACGGAAATTATAGGTATACCAGAATACAGAAAAAGTTACCCCAATGCTGTGAATGTAAAAGATACAAATGCTGAAGATGTTACTGTCAAAACAGTGTTCATGCAAATGAATTAATAAAAAAAATGAAATCATATGTCAAAAAGTTGTTATGTTATTTTTTATGGAGCTTCGGGAAAAAAGAAAAAAAATAACACTGTAGGTTAATATGGAAATAACGAGATATGGTACAATTGCAAATGAGACAACTATCAACCAAACGACACAAGAAAAGAGATCTTAACAACTACAGGTCACAGTAAAGAGATCTTAACAACTACAGGTCACAGAAAAGAGATCTTAATAACTTCAGGTCACAGTAAAGAGATCTTAACAACTACAGGTCACAGAAAAGAGATCTTAACAACTACAGGTCACAGTAAAGAGATCTTAACAACTACAGGTCACAGTAAAGAGATCTTAACAACTACAGGTCACAGTATAGTGATCTTAACAACTACAGGTCACAGTAAAGAGATCTTAATAACTACAGGTCACAGTAAGGCTTTCAACAATGAGCAAAAACCATACAGTATATAGTAAGCTTTAGGAGTATCCGGATAACAAGTATTTGTCATCTATTTGAACATTACAATTTGAATGGGTTTTTTTTCTTCAAGAATATATTCCTTCAGTTTTGAAATGATATCTAATTTGACAAAGTCTTGCAGTGGAAGTTCAATTTCCGATAAGGCAAAAGGGCATCCTTATTAAACAAACCCAATCATTCAGTACAAAGGAAATCATACTAAAATTAAAATCGTCAAGCAAAATAAATATATTGTACAATTTTCATTCAAAAATATGCCTGGTTAGTGTAAAAGTAAACTGTTGTTGATCAAATGTAATTAAAGGTCTTGAGTGAATAATAAGATGGCTTAGAAATATAAATTTGGACCAGTCCCAACCACGGAGGTTGTATTTTACTACAATGCGTATTTTGCTGTTTTTCAATTGAGACTGTTTTCTTTTGGCGTGTTTTATATATTGTAAACCGGGAGTGTAATAGACCTTTCGCTAATGGTCCTTGATCATAGACGTACATATTCTTTGTATATATGTCCTATAGGTAATTCTTTCGCATTTTCTTTGGTTTTAGATTGAATAGAATTTTATGTGAAAGTTTGAACAGATCTAAAAAATTTGGGAGAGTTTCAAATACATTTATAATGGGACATCCTGCATACGGAAAAATACAAACCAAAACATCATTACAAACCAGAGACATATATTTATAAACTCTAAAGAGAATCGATTTAGATTTTACAATGTTAATCGGAACATATATATTTGTTTACAATGTTAATCGGAACATATATATTAGTTTACAATGTTAATCGGAACATATATATTAGTTTACAATGTTAATCGGAACATATATATTAGTTTACACTGTTAATCGGAACATATATATTAGTTTACAATGTTAATCAAAACATATATATTAGTTTACAATGTTAATCGGAACATATATATTAGTTTTTCATCATTAAGCATCACGAACTCAAACATCAATCGTGGGTAAATTAAGGAAATTTGGTGTTGATTTTGGATTATAGATAACATGTGTTAAGTTATAACTTTTCTAGACTCCTGGCGATTAAGAGATGAACTTGTCTATTGCCGAAGACTCTCTCTAGGTATAGGTTGCTGTGTCGTATAACCGCAACTCTTTATATTAAATAATTGTCAAAATTGCGGTTGCAAATTTATATTTTCCCCTCTGCAAGTGTTTTGGCCCATTCTTCTAACATAGTATAGACGGTGTTCCCACGATCACAAATACTCATGGCTTTATATCGTGATAAGGAAAGAACAAATAGAGGAAACTAAGTGAAAATCCCTTTTTCAAGTATGCTATGACCAGAATTTGTAATAACATACTAATTTAAATGGTCTTTCTGACATTTACTTGATTGTTCTGAATTAATGGACGATGTAATGGCACATTGATTAATTGATTGGTTGATATAATTACTGGACGATGGAATGGCACATTGATTAATTGATTGTTTGATATAATTACTGGACGATGGAATGGTATATGGATTAATTGATTGATTGGTTGATCTGAATTGCTTGACGATGGAATGGTATATTGATCAATTTATTGGTTGATATAATTACTGGACGATGGAATGGTATATTGATTAATTGATTGGTTAAAAATATTTCTGGCCGATAAAATGGTATATTGAATAATTGATAGGTTGATTGGTCTGAATTAATGGACGATTTAATGGTATATTGGTTAATTGATTGGTTGATATAATTAATGAACGTTGAAATTGTATATTGATTGACTGATTGGTTTATTTGAATTAATGAACGATGGAAAAGTATATTGATTAATTGATTGGTTGAAAATATTTCTGGACGATATAATGGTATATTAATTAACTGATTGGTTTATCTGAAATACTGGACGATCGAATGGTATATTTGTTAATTGATTGGTTGATATAATTACTGGACGATGAAATGGTATATTGATTAACTGATTGGTTGATATAAAAACTGGACAATGGAATGGTATATTGGTTAATTGATTGGTTGATATAAAAACTGGACAATGGAATGGTATATTGGTTAATTGATTGGTTGATATAATTATTGGACGATGGAATGGTATATTGATTAACTGATTGGTTGATCTGAATTAATGGACGATGGAATGATTTATTGATTAACTGATTGGTTGATATAAAAACTGGACAATGAAATGGTATATTGTTTAATTCATTGGTTGATAAAATTATTGGACGATGGAATGGTATATTGATTAACTGATGGGTTGATCTGAATTAATGGACGATGGAACGGTATATTGGTTTATTGATTGGTTGATATAATTATTGGACAATGGAATGGTATATTGTTTAGCTGATTGGTTTATATAACTAATTGGCGATGGAATGGTATATTGATTAATTGAATGGATGATATAATTACTGGACGATGGAAGGGTAAATTGATTAACTGATTGGTGGATCTGAATTTAAAGACAATGGAATGGTATATTGATTAACTGATTGGTTGAGTGATGTATGTTTTAGAAATATTTCTTTGCTCATTCTGTAATTTTCTATTAAGTATATTTGGACTTTGTTTGTGTGTTTGCCTCTTTTTCTTTTTGTCTTTCATCTATTGTTGGTTTTATTGTCCTTTGATGTCTTCTTTCGGTTTCATACAACAACCAAGTGGAATCTAGGTAAAATAAATAAAATAAAAACAATCTGTAAATGCGTATGCCAAAATTCCCCAAATCGACAGCAATCAACAAAAAAGACCTTCTAGGTAAAAATGAACGTCTTTATGACGTCCATTATCACTGAACTAGTATACATATTTGTTTAGGGGCCAGCTGAAGGACGCCTCCGGGTGCGGGAGTTTCTCGCTGCATTGGAGACACATTGGTGGCCTTCGGCTGTTGTCTGCTCTATGGTCGGGTTGTTGTCTCTTTGACACATTCCCCATTTCCATTCTCAATTTTATTTTTATTTTATAGTCTATATGTAACATTGTGTAGACTACATATGTGATTTGAAAATCGCTTTGAGATATAGTGTTTGCATAAACATATTAACACACATTGCTGGTGAGGTCAGTTGCAATACACAGGATCAAAAATGCCATCGACGCAACAAAACAATAGGTTCGTATCGAAGAAAAGTATAAATTATTGTTGACAAGGTTGCATCCATTTCAAGGACTTGTTAAAGAGACATCATCTAAAGGTTATACTATGAGTAATGGAGAAATTTTAGAAAAAGTTCCTTTTTAATAGGATAACAAGTAATGTTCATGTTCTAAGGTGCACTGATTAAAATTTTGAACTTGGCTAAAATAAATAGCAGATAGTTGAGAGTTGATAGCAACCAGGAAATCAAATATGTTTGACAGAACTAGTTAGAAACCAATTTTTACAAGTGTATGATATATACACAAAAAAATCCATTTAAAAATTCGATAATGTGAAATGCCTGATGACCGGTTATTTTATCAACGGTTTTATACAGGAGAAACACGACGGGTATTACTAATGGTGCAGGAACTGCAAACCCTTCCGGAGGACACGACTTCACTCCCGATACCCTAAGGTTTCATCTGTTGGTTGCTATATTTCAATTGGATGTTCTTTTTTATTTTTTTGAGCATGTCTGTGGACGTTGTTTCTTTTTGTTTTGTTTTGTTTTTGCTTTTGTTTTTGCTTTTGTTTTTGCTTTTGTGTTTGTTTGTTTTATTTTTTTTGGGGGGGGAGGGGGGAGGGGGGAAGGGGGAGCTCGATGAGCACTCTAGAATTTATCTTTATCAGGAATACTTGAAATTCCACAAAAATAACCAAAAAACAGCTGAGACAAATGTCAAGAAATCTTCCAGATTTTGTAAAATTTGCAAAAATTATCAACTGAAAAATTACAAAAATATGCGCAATCAATAATCACAACAGATACTACAACAAGTAAAGAGAGTTGTATATTTCCTTTTTTTTTTATTTCACTGACATCTGAATGCTTTTGATATTTTACTTTTGAATGGAATGTTAAGGTATAATTCTTAACTGAATACACGTCAGATAATACTCAAAACCTTAACCAGAATATTGTGTTCAAAAAGTGTATTGTGGATAGTTTTTCTAACTGTCTGTCTATATTGTCATTGTTGCTAGATAGTTTTTTCTATAACTGTTTTAAAAGGTAAGAAGATACAAAAGGAATGTCACAATAAAAATCATTAATAAAAGAGGGCCAGAAACAACAATCTACTCAAAACATTGCACAAGAAACTACAGACTGAGCAGTATTAACCCCGACAAAACATTACACAAGAAACTACAGACTGAGTAGTATTAACCCCGACAAAACATTGCACAAGAAACTACAGACTGAGTAGTATTAACCCCGACAAATCATTGCACAAGAAACTACAGACTGAGTAGTATTAACCCCGACAAAACATTGCACAAGAAACTACAGACTGAGCAGTATCAACTCCGACAAAACATTGCACAAGAAACTACAGACTGAGCAGTATTAACCTCGACAAAACATTGAACAAGAAACTACAGACTGAGTAGTATTAACCCC